GTCTAGTGGTGGCAAGGGTACTTGGCTTCCTATGAGGTCTAGTGTTCGAATCCCACCCTAGTCAACTAATTGATCGGTACCTCCTTCCGTAAATGCCTTGCCTAGGGCGTGCCCGCAAAGGTCCGATTCCAGGGGAGGACAAGTTGTCTTTTCCGATGCTTGCTTATGATGTATGGCAAGTAGGGCTCACAAAATGTGGACCACGGGGCCATGAGGTCCCCGCCATTAAACCTTTTTTTTAAGTCGTATTTATGTGTGAACATGGCGGAGTTTATAAAAATAAAACAATTTTTATTCGTCATACGGGAACAAAAAAAGTTTGGATGCCCATTTGAGTTGATAGTATTATTTTTGGCTAAACATAGGTTGGGGACATTGACGGTGGTATGCGATGCACATAATCATGTTCTTGCACAATATATGGGGGGTCATGCATATGCAATGCGACTGAATGAAACTGAAGTTCAACTAGTTAAAAATCTATCAGCCCAACATGTCAAGCCACGATACATCTTATCCACGTTTAAGGGTAGACATACGGGAAATGCATCTACGTCAATAACAATATACAATGAACAACAAAAGATTAAGACAACAAACGATGCAGGAAGACCACAAATGCAGGTTGTTGTTGATTTTTTTTTATTAACAAAAAATATGATTTTGAGACTCGTGTTAATGACGAAACAAACGAGTTGGAAGATTTATTCTTCATTCATCCAAGATCACTTGAGCTTTGGTGTGCATTCCCACGAGTGTTGGTCATCGATGCCATATATAAAACAAATTTGTACCTTAAATGCATGTCTATTATGTTAATGTCAATATTATTATTTTTTAACATTATTATTTTGTTAATTTGTTATTCAGGTACGACATGCCTCTTCTTGAGATAGTTGGTGTAACATCGACCAACCTAACATTTTGCATAACATTTGTTTTCATACATCAATAAAAGATATCAAATTATACTTGGACGTTAGGTTGTCTAAAGTCCAAAATATGCGATAATTTTTACCGAAGTGTCATTGTTACAGACAGAGAGTTGGCTTTGATTAATGCATGCATAGTGGTATTTCCGGGTGCTAAACAATTACTTTGTAGATGACACATCTTTCAAAATATTTTGAGACATTGTAGACCATCAATTCACGAGTCGCACCCATGGAGTACTTTTTGTCAATTATGGTTGCAATTACTTGAATCTCAAATTAGGAATGATACATGTACAACTTGGGACAGCTTCAAGAAAATTTGCTCGCCTATCCAGGTATACTTGATATAAGATAGTTTAACCATTATTACTAAAGATATTGACATATGTTTGTTGTATTTTTTCAGGTATTATGAATTACCTGAACAATGTATGGTTGACACCAATATAAAGAAATGTTTATATCTGCTTGGGTTGATCATGTTTTAAACTTTGGAAATCACATAACAAACAGAGTTGAAAGCCAACATTCCAAACTAAAATTATTTTTGGAGACTTCTCGAGCAGACTTACAAAGAATTTTATCTCACATCCATTAAGTAATCCAGTCAGAGGACACATCGATTAAAGCAAGTTTTGAACAATGTAGAACTATTAGGAAACACCGATTTGGAAACTCACACTTTCAAAATTTGTGGGGATTTTTTTTCATTTCATGCACTTAATATGATTTCCACCGAAAATGAACGGTCTTTCCAAACTAGCGTATTTTCTGAAAATTGTGGTTGTAAATTGCGTAGAAGTCATGGGTTGCCTTGTGCTCATGAACAAGTGTTAGGATTGAAATTATTTATAAAATTGTATTCGTCTTGAAAGTTAAAATTGTCTATAATTATATAAAAGTCATCGTGTTTGACTTTTCTCTAGATAGTTTGACTTTGATTTTTAGTGTTTACTTTGACTCTATATAAAGGGTAAGTCCTTTGTATTTTTAGTAAGAGCTCAATTGTTAAATCAGTATACGTAATAAAGTTTGACCAGATCTTTGAAGTTCGACTTTCTCTCTCAACCTACTAAAAGTGTTTTTAATGCAATATCCAAATCTGCCATGGAAATCTCGAAGCTTTTATGAAGATTGATTAAAGTGGGAACAATAACAAGCACTGTATACATGTCAAGGCATACCCATTCCACTTGATGCAATAGATATATTTTGGAAAAAAACTTGATTTTCACCCTGTATGTCCACACAAGATGACAAGATTGGATGTGATGATGAAGTTCAATTGTTCAAAGAAAAATTCAACAAGCAGTCATCTCATGGTAGTAAAAGCTTACTCAGAAAGTTGAAGGATATAATAATGTCATCAAAACCGTTCGATGAACCCTCGGTTCATAGAACCACTCGTGGTCGTCCATCTACAAAGAGTCAAGCTTTGAATAAAAGAATTATTGAATACTGTATACGTAGTTGTTCTAACGTGCCAACAATTATTAACTCTTAAGATTTAGGGCATCAAGAATCAGCGAGACATAGTTCCTATTTCCAATGACAACCCACTACCCGACATTCGTATCTTGATCAAATTCCGAGTTTATTTCATCCATACATCATACAAATACAAGATGTATTAGGCGATGGAAATTGTGGATTTCAAGCGATATCTACTTGTCTGGGTGGTCATGATATCTACTTCTCTTTGTTTTCGTTGTCTTCTTTATAAGCTTAGCTCATCTTAATGAAATGACATGTGTCGTCTTGTTAAGGATCATCTAGATGAAACAGTAAGAAGTGAATGGTGGAGTTGATAGCTATTGCGAAAGCAATTATGCCAACCACTTCAAGTTTTTTTAGAACAATGGAGAATTTTCCAACTGTTAAACTTTATGTTTTATGAGATTGGTTTAGGCTTGTTCATCGGTTGACATCCATTGGATGTGAGGGGAACCGAATCGATCCAATCATCCATTGAATATTGGATTTAGGCAACCGACCCGATTCGATTAACACTGGACAACTGACCCAATCTAATCCAATGGATGATTGGATCGATTAGGTTCCATCCATTGGATACTTTTATTGGATATCTATTGGACATCCAATGGATGATTCGTTAGGATTGAATTCATCTAGTGTGTTAATTTAATCAAATTCTACAACAATTATACAAATTGATTAATCACTTTTAATATGTGTTAAAACCAACACAAGGGAAGTTAAAAATTCAAAACTCACATAAAATAAATTCTGGTTTAAGCAATTGAAAATAAATTAATTGGATAATAGTTGGATAATGGTTGGATGGACAACTATATGGTCATCGAATGATTAATTGGATGTTGCTCCGTTCGGTTTTGGACTGCCATCCGAGAAGCTACCGATCCAAATTGGATGTTGAAATTTTCAATCTGCTCCAATCCAATTATAATTGGATATCCAATTATGATCGGTCGGTTCTAATTGGATCAGTCGATTCCAATTGGATCGGTTGATTTTCTGCACACCCCTAGATTGGTTGATATGCACACAAGTTAGCTTGTACACTCAGATTATTATAAAAATAAGAGTAAACTATAAATTTGGTCCCCATGGTTGTCAAAAATAACACATTTCGTCTCTTTAGTTTCAAAATTACAAGATAGCTATCGTGGTTCGAAAAAACATCCGGATTTGGTTCCTCCTCTAACGGCAACTAAAAATTTCGTTAAATGAAGGAAGTTTTCATCCCTTTATTGGTTTTTTATTTTTATCCAATCAAAAACTACAGGGGCCAAACCCATAAAATTGATTTTAATTATATAAAAATACAAAAAAAAAAAAGAACAAAAATGGTCCATATTTAACAATTTTTTAATAGTTACTAAAAAAATGATCAAATCCAAATGATTTTATAAACCGTAATAGAAATCTAGTAATTTCAAATTTTCAAGGACGAAATGTGTTATTATTGACAAACCACAAGGTACCAAAATGAATTTTAGTTTAACTTCTATCTATACTATATTATAAAACATTTGATAAAAACTCTTAAAAACCATGTTTTATGCATAAAGTACTGTATATTGATGTATATTACTTAAAATTCAAGATTACAAGTAAATTATGCATTAAGTACAACTTATTAAAGTTCAATATTTGAATTCGTGTAACTAACTACAAATAAACATAATCAAATAACGGATAA